CCCTGGAGCTGTCCCAGGAGACCCCTGGAACCTGCTCAGGAGACACCTGGAACCTGCTCAGGAGACACCTGGAACCTGCTCAGGAGAACCCCTGGAGCGCGTCCCAGGAGACCCTGGAGCTGTCCAGGAGACCCTGGAACCTGCCAGGAGACCCCTGGAACCTGCCCAGGAGACCCCTGGAAACGTCCCAGGAGACCCCTGGAACTGCTCAGGAGACCCCTGGAGCCGTCCAGGAGACCCCTGGAACCTGCCCAGGAGACCCCTGGAACCTGCTCGGAGACCCTGGAACCTGCCAGGAGACCCTGGAAACGTCCCAGGAGACCCTGGAACCTGCTCAGGGACCCTGGAGCCATCCCAGGAGACCCTGGAACCTGCTCAGGAGACCCCTGGAACTGCTCAGGAGACCCTGGAACCTGCTCAGGAGACCCCTGGAACCTGTTCAGGAGACCCCTGGAGCCGTCCCAGGAGACCCCTGGAACCTGCTCAGGAGACCCTGGAGCTGTCCCAGGAGACCCTGGAACCTGCCCAGGAGACCCTGGAACCTGCTCAGGAGACACCTGGAACCTGCTCAGGAGACCCCTGGAACCTGCCCAGGAGACCCCTGGAACCTGCTCAGGAGAAACCCTGGAGCCGTCCCAGGAGACCCTGGAGCTGTCCCAGGAGACCCCTGGAACTGCCCAGGAGACCCTGGAACCTGCCCAGGAGACCCCTGGAACCTGCTCAGGAGACCCCTGGAGCCATCCCAGGAGACCCCTGGAACCTGCCCAGGAGACCCCTGGAACCTGCTCAGGAGAACCCCTGGAGCCGTCCCAGGAGACCCCTGGAACCTGCCCAGGAGACCCCTGGAACCTGCTCAGGAGACCCCTGGAACCTGCCCAGGAGACCCTGGAAAACGTCCCAGAGGAACCCCTGGAACCTGCTCAGGAGACCCTGGAGCCATCCCAGGAGACCCCTGGAACCTGCTCAGGAGACCCCTGGAACCTGCTCAGGAGACCCCTGGAGCCTCCCAGGAGACCCCTGGAACCTTCAGGAGACCCCTGGAGCCGTCCCAGGAGACCCCTGGAACTGCTCAGGAGACCCCTGGAGCTGTCCCAGGAGACCCTGGAAACGTCCCAGGAGCCCCTGGAACCTGCTCAGGAGACCCCTGGAACCTGCTCAGGAGAACCCCTGGAGCCGTCCCAGGAGACCCCTGGAGCTGTCCCAGGAGACCCCTGGAACCTGCCCAGGAGACCCCTGGAACCTGCCCAGGAGACCCCTGGAACCTGCTCAGGAGACCCCTGGAGCCATCCCAGGAGACCCCTGGAACCTGCCCAGGAGACCCCTGGAACCTGCTCAGGAGAACCCCTGGAGCCGTCCCAGGAGACCCCTGGAACCTGCCAGGAGACCCCTGGAACCTGCTCAGGAGACCCCTGGAACCTGCCCAGGAGACCCCTGGAAACGTCCCAGGAGACCCCTGGAACCTGCTCAGGAGACCCCTGGAGCCATCCCAGGAGACCCCTGGAACCTGCTCAGGAGACCCCTGGAACCTGCTCAGGAGACCCCTGGAGCCATCCCAGGAGACCCCTGGAACCTGTTCAGGAGACCCCTGGAGCCGTCCCAGGAGACCCCTGGAACCTGCTCAGGAGACCCCTGGAGCTGTCCCAGGAGACCCCTGGAAACGTCCCAGGAGACCCCTGGAACCTGCTCAGGAGACCCCTGGAACCTGCTCAGGAGACCCCTGGAACCTGCTCAGGAGACCCCTGGAACCTGCTCATGAAGGGAGCTGCAGCTTCACGGGGAAACTGTTAGAGGACTCAGAGGAGGAGATTTATTTTCTCATTCTGGACAGTCTGGACCTGCAGTGAACCGGCCTCCCTCATTGGTGGACCATGGCTTGGTCCCGCCCACCTGCGCCTGAACAGGAAGAAGGATGATCAACGGCTTATAATCAGTGTGTTTGTGTTTCCATGACGACCAAAGACAAACACTCACCTGCAGCAGGACGTGTCCCGAGACCAGCAGACTGACTCCAGACCAGCCGAGAGAACCAGGTCAGAGCTGTCCCCTCTCAGGTGAGTCAGTTCACCTGTCGGCAGAGATTCTCCATCACTTTGGACTCCGTTGTGCCCGGCGGGAAAAACCAGCAGCAGCAGGACTCAGGCTGATTCAGCAGTGCTGAGAGAGTCCAGCCCTGATTCAGTGAGCTTCCTCCTTTCAGTTTCAGTGTAGTCGTTTCCTCTGACCAGCAGGTGGCAGTGTTGTCCAGGCTGTCTCAGCTTCTCTCTCTCAGTCGTGTCCTTATTTAAACGACGTCCTCATCTCATTTAGAGGAGACGAGCAGTCTGAATGAAACCAAAGTCACTCCACCTCCCTCAGCTGTGAGGTTTGTGTTTCAGAGTGGTGCTCGGCGGTCTGCTGAGGCTGAATCAGATTCAACTGGGCTCCTTTTTTATGTGTCGCTCCCCCGACAGAGTTAATGATTGATAAGAACTCAAGACTTATATGTGCGCTGGGGGGGCAGGAACCTTTTTTGGCTTTTGAAACGGGGTCATGACAGAAAAACGACGAGCAGCTCTAAGCGTGCATTTAACCTTCTGAGACTCAGTCGTGCTGTTTATCTCGCCGTGGTTTCTCCTTTAACAACCTCTGCTGCTACACATCATCATCATGGAAATATCTGACTTCATCCAAAACAAACGTTCCTGTTATTTTATCCATAAAGTGTTTCTGTAAAGCTTCAACAGAGAATCTTCTACATCACAACATGTTTATATTCAGTAAGGGACGATTTGATAACCTGAGTCGCCGCTGAGTAATTACAGTGAAATCGCGGCTGACAGGCAGAGGAGACTGCAGCGAAGCAGTTTTAGAGTCAAATGTTTTGTTAGCGTCGGAGCTAACAGAGAAACTCAGACTGCAGCCAGGTGTCGGTTTTCAACAAACTCATGTTTATTATTCAAGTAAGAAAAGTGACAGCAGACGCCCAGCTGAGGCTTTATTTACACACATGTACAGTTAGTCCAGCTGACCCCCGGACCAGCTCAGACTCGAACCTGTCCTCCTCGCAGACGGGCCGAGCTGCCGGCGGGCTGACGCTGGGTCAGCACCACAGAAACAATGAACAGCAGCTACGAGGAGTGGAACTACAGAGTGAGAGAAGCTAACGGCTATTATTTACAGAACAAACTCTACCTGAAGCACAACTACATAAATAACTAGAGTTACACTTTAAACTGCATCAACACAGTCGCTGCTTCAACCGTCCCCCACGCAGCGGGACGCAGACCCACCTGCAGAGACAGAATCAGAACAAACTTCAGTTGTTTGGCCTTAAACAGAAGCAAACGACCTCACTAACATTCCCTCCAAATAAACAGGACAGAACAGAACCCGGCCATCGAGCAAGCCGCCACAGACAAACCTGGCTTCCTACGGAGGAGAGGATGCGCTCACTTTGTCCATCACAGGAAACAAACCAGTGTATAGTAGTGAGTGTGCAGCTTGTATAACAGTGTAAATTTGCTGTCCCCTCAAAATAACACATCACACAGCCATTAATGTCTAAACGGCTGACAACAAAAGTGAGGACACCCCTAAGTGAAAATATCCAAATTGGGCCAAATCAGCCATTTTCCCTCCCCGGTGTCATGTGACTCGGTGGTTTTACAAGGTCTCAGGTGTGAACGGGGAGCAGGTGTGTTAAATTTGCTATTATCGCTCTCACACTCCCTCATGCTGCTCACTGGAAGCTCAACATGGCACCTCATGGAAAATAACTCTCTGAGGACCTGAAAAAAAGAAGGTTGCTCTACATAAAGATGGCCGAGAATGTAAGAAGACTGAAGCTGAGCTGCAGCTCAGTGGCCACGACCATACAGCGGTAAAGGTGATGGACTGGCTCCAGACCTGAACCCTACTGAGCATCTGTGGGGCTCCTCAACGGAAGGTGGAGGAGCGCAAGGTCTCTAACATGACGTCATCATGGAGGAGTGGAAGAGGACTCCAGAGGCGACCTGTGAAGCTCTGCTGAACTCCAGGCCCAAGAGGGTTAAAGCAGCGCTGCAAAATAATGGTGGCCTAAATATTGACACTTTGGGCCCAATTTGGATATTTTCTCTTAGGGGTGTCCTCACTTTTGTTGCCAGCGGTTTAGACATTAATGGCTGTGTGAGTTATTTTGAGGGGACAGCAAATTTACACTGTTATACAAGCTGCACACTCACTACTTTGTCATTTCTCCAGTGATGTCACATGAAAAGATATAATTAAATATTTACAGAAATGTGAGGGGTGGACTCACTTTGGTGAGATACTGTACAGGCATCAGACCGGAGTACAGCACCAACGTTATTACTGTCCATTTCTTTTCTTTGAATGTTTTGTTTTGCTGTTGATTTGGCATTTGAACATTATTCTTTTGTGCTTTTTGAAAACTGAAATTAAGAGACAGAGAATAGATGGACAGGTGGTTTTAGTTACTGTGTGTGATGTATATAAATCAACATGCTCGGTGGTCACACTTAATATCTCATAAGTTTCTGTCTCTGCTTCAGCAACACAGACAGATACCCACCGTTAAACTCTGCTGCACTAACATCCACATGACTACGTTCTTGTTTTAAACTCAGACTGCCGGACTGTTAGCATTAACCTAATGATGAATGAAATGTGGTGAAACAGCGGTGGACAATCAGCAGCTGCGACACGACTACAAGCAAACTAGGGAGAGGAATGTTTCTCGTGGTAACTCGGAGGTTTAACTTCACTTACAGATGAGTCCGTCGGGTCAGCTGAGTCACACCATGGTGGCCGGGCCGATGACTGCAGCTTTCTGAGGACAGACGAGATCATACGGTCATTAGGACGCAGGACGGGTGAGAGAGAGAGCACAACAGGTAACACTCAGGTAACGTTTGATTTCAGCACGGACAGTTGTCTTGTTTCCAGGCTTACGATTATTTTCACTTTCATTTAACTCACCAATTATTTGTGAATGAAAAATCTGAAGTGAAGAAGCTCAAAGAAAGTTCACAGTGTGAATGTTCAAACATGTAGGAGCAGCAACATTTCTCTTTACTTCAGGTCAAAGAGGTTCAGCCGTGACAGCTTCCTCCATCCGACACTGGATTATACTGCCTCGGGGCCTCAGACCCCCGGGGGCCCAAATAATAACAGATTCACTGTGTCAACTGGAATTTGCATAATGACACTAACATTCTGAGTTTGTGATGTGGCCCCGAGTCAGTTTCCTCTCAGGGGACACAGGCCCGAGAGCTCGGCTCTCTGAGGCAGCTGAAGACAGTTTACACTTGAATTTATGAGATCAAAAACACATGGGCGAAGCTGTGGACAGTAAGGGGGACAGAGCAGGGGGGGACAGGGGGGGCAGAGCTGGAGGGACAGTAAGGGGGGGCAGAGCAGGAGGGACAGTAAGGGGGGGCAGAGCAGGGTGGACAGTAAGGGGGGCAGAGCAGGGTGGACAGTAAGGGGGGGCAGAGTAAGGGGGGCAGAGCAGGGGGACAGTAAGGGGGGGCAGAGCAGGGGGGACAGTAAGGGGGGCAGAGCAGGGTGGACAGTAAGGGGGGACAGAGCAGGGTGGACAGTAAGGGGGGGCAGAGTAAGGGGGGGCAGAGCAGGGGGGACAGTAAGGGGGGGCAGAGCAGGAGGGACAGTAAGGGGGGACAGAGCAGGAGGGACAGTAAGGGGGGACAGAGCAGGGTGGACAGTTAGGGGGGGCAGAGCAGGGTGGACAGTTAGGGGGGGCAGAGCAGGGTGGACAGTAAGGGGAGACAGAGCAGGAGGGACAGTAAGGTGGGACAGAGCAGGGTGGACAGTTAGGGGGGGCAGAGCAGGGTGGACAGAGCAGGGTGGACAGTTAGGGGGGGCAGAGCAGGGTGGACAGTTAGGGGGGGCAGAGCAGGGTGGACAGTTAGGGGGGACAGAGCAGGAGGGACAGTAAGGTGGGACAGAGCAGGGTGGACAGTTAGGGGGGGCAGAGCAGGGGGGACAGTAAGGGGGGGCAGAGCAGGGTGGACAGTTAGGGGGGCAGAGCAGGGTGGACAGTTAGGGGGGACAGAGCAGGGTGGACAGTAAGGGGAGACAGAGCAGGGTGGACAGTTAGGGGAGACAGAGCAGGGTGGACAGTTAGGGGGGGCAGAGCAGGGTGGACAGTAAGGTGGGACAGAGCAGGGTGGACAGTAAGGGGGGCAGAGCAGGGTGGACAGTAAGGTGGGACAGAGCAGGGTGGACAGTTAGGGGGGCAGAGCAGGGTGGACAGTTAGGGGGACAGAGCAGGGTGGAAAGTTAGGGGGGGCAGAGCAGGTGGACAGTTAGGGGGGGCAGAGCAGGGTGGAAAGTTAGGGGGGCAGAGCAGGGTGGACAGTTAGGGGGGCAGAGGGTGGAAAGTTAGGGGGGGCAGAGCAGGGTGGACAGTAAGGGGAGACAGAGCAGGGTGGACAGTTAGGGGGGGCAGAGCAGGGTGGACAGTTAGGGGGGGCAGAGCAGGTGGACAGTAAGGGGAGACAGAGCAGGGTGGACAGTTAGGGGGGACAGAGCAGGGTGGAAAGTTAGGGGGGCAGAGCAGGGTGGACAGTTAGGGGGGGCAGAGCAGGGTGGAAAGTTAGGGGGGCAGAGCAGGGTGGACAGTAAGGGGAGACAGAGCAGGGTGGACAGTTAGGGGGGGCAGAGCAGGGTGGACAGTTAGGGGGGGCAGAGCAGGGTGGACAGTAAGGGGAGACAGAGCAGGGTGGACAGTTAGGGGGACAGAGCAGGTGGAAAGTTAGGGGGGGCAGAGCAGGGTGGAAAGTTAGGGGGGGCAGAGCAGGGTGGACAGTTAGGGGGGGCAGAGCAGGAGTCTCAGTCTAAGATCGCAGCCGTCTCGTACTCACTGGTGAGATGTACTGGCTGTTGAGGTGCTGTTTGTTGGAGGAGGAGGAGCAGGGCTGGCTGGGGGGGCTCTGCTCCTCGGGCAGGGCCTCCTGGAGGTGGGAGGAGACGCAGCCGCTGTCGGAGCCGGTGGAGCCGGAGAGACAACGAGACGAAGAACCCGAACTCTCTGTGGCTGAGACAAAGATAATCTGCTGTCAGACAAACGAACAAACATCCGGAATCAACCAATCGGATTCAGACGTACTCATGGAGGGCTGGCTGCTGGTCTCGTGCTCCTGCTCGTCCTCCTCGATACAGGAAGTGATGAAGGAGCTCTCAGCAGCGGGAGAGGAGGACAGGGTTTGACTATTGGAGGAGAGCAGAGCTGGGTTTTACAAAGGAAGCAATGAACCGGACGGGACGGGGCGGACAGGTGGGCCTTACCTGTACATGTGCAGGTTGAGCGGCCCCAGCAGGCCGGATGAAGAAGGCCCAGACGCCGAGGGGTCAGAGGTCACCGCTCCTCGTTTGAAAGGGTGAGAGTGATCGAAGGCGGAGACGGCAATGGACGCCCGGGTCCTGGCACCTGAACACACACACGGATCGTCAGCTGACTGTTCAGGTACTGTACCTGGTGCGTCTCTGGGGACAGGTGTTACCTCTGCTCTTCATGATGTAGTGGACCGCTCGGTCACTGATGGCGGCGTCGCTCGGCTGGATGTCCAGAAACGGTTTGTTCCCGACCCCCATCGACACCATCTCCTTCAGACGCATCTCTGAAACACAGACAGGAGGTGAGGACCTGGTCTCAGCGGGCGACAGAGGGCGGCTCCGTCCCCCGTCCCTACCTTTGTTTCTGGTGGCCTGGTTCCACAGGATCCGGGCGATGTCGGCGGTCCAGGTGTGTTTGACGTCCAGCGTGGCGGCCTGGAGGATGAAGGTCTGATTCTTGGACGTCCTCCTTCTGAACCAGATCTCGAATCGCAGCCCGTTGTCTCCCGTGGACTCCGTCAGACCCACGTCTGCGGTCTGGAGGACAAAGAGGAGTTCAGTCTGACCTCTGACCCGGTTTGGGACTCGGGTTCGCCCCCCCCGGGTGCTCAGGTGTGTTTACCTTGAAGGAGTGTTTGTAGATGAAGACGTCCAGCCCTCCCTCCATCTTCTTGGGTTTACTGAAGAGGACAAGCTCCTCAAACAGGAAGACGTGACGCTGACTTTTCCTCCTCCCGGTCCAGACCGTGAACTCGTCCTGACGGATCAGCTGACCCTGCTCCTTCAGGTTCACCTGGAGACAGAGAAGGAGTTCAGTGTACGATCGGCGAAGGAGGTTCCAGATTCCTCTGGACTAATCTTTGATAAACTCACATCACAGTCTCGGATGGCGTCCATCGCCAGCAGGTCGTTGCCGTGGCGAAGCTGGAACTTGACCATGTTGGTGGCAGCCTGCAGCGCGCCTAGCTCCGCCTCCTGAGCCACGCCCACCTCCTTCATCAGGTCAGTGAGCAGCAGGGCGTATTTACTCATCCTCTGGACCGGTTTCAACAGGTAGGAGGACAGGTCCATCTTATCCCCCAGCTCCACCTGCTTCCTCTGGGGGGGAGGAGCAGACGGAGAGGAGGGTCAGTGTGAGTTGATTTTATTGTGTAAAAAATGTGAGGAATGTGTGAAACTCTGAGGTCAAAGGTCTGAGAGTCAGCAGAGGTGAAGCGTGAGGTCGGGGTCGGAGCGGCGTTCTCACCCTGAAGAAGGAGTTCCCGTGGTTCGCCAGCAGGGCGTCAGACTTGGGTTTGTTCTTGCTGTAGAGAGCGTACAGACCGAACTGCTCCTGCTGAACACAACAACAACAACAACAGCTGCTCAGCACCTGAACACACCTGGGAGACGGTGACAGGACCTCAGGGGCGTCCAGGTGTGTGTGTGTGTGTCCGTGTCCAGGTGTGTGTCCATGTCTGTGTGTGTGTCTGTGTGTGTGTGTGTGTGTGTGTCCAGGTGTGTGTCCGTGTCCAGGTGTGTGTCCAAGTCTGTGTGTGTGTGTCCCCGTGTCCAGGTGTGGTCCAAGTCTGTGTGTGTGTCCGTGTGTGTGTGTGTGTGTGTGTGTCCAGGTGTGTGTCCGTGTCCAGGGTGTGTCCAAGTCTGTGTGTGTGTGTGTGTTCCGTGTCCAGGTGTGTGTCCGTGTGTGTGTGTCCAAGTCTGTGTGTGTGGTCCAGGTGTGTGTCCAGGTGTGTGGTCCGTGTCCAGGTGTGTGTCGGTGTCCAGGTGTGTGTCCGTGTGTGTCCGTGTCCAGGTGTGTGTCCGTGTCTGTGTGTGTCCGTGTCTGTGTGTGTCCGTGTCCAGGTGTGTGTCGTGTTGGTGTGTCCGTGTCCAGGTGGTGTCCGTGTCCAGGTGTGTGTCTGTGTGTGTGTGTGTGTCCGTGTCCAGGTGTGTGTCTGTGTCCAAGTCTGTGTGTGTGTGTGTCCGTGTCCAAGTCTGTGTGTGTGTGTGTCCGTGTCCAAGTCTGTGTGTGTGTGTGTGTCCAAGTCTGTGTGTGTGTGTGTGTCCAAGTCTGTGTGTGTGTGTGTCCAAGTCTGTGTGTGTGTGTGTGTCCAAGTCTGTGTGTGTGTGTGTGTCCGTGTCCAGGCGTTGTCCGTGTGTGTCCGTGTCCAAGTCTGTGTGTGTGTGTGTGTGTCCGTGTCCAAGTCTGTGTGTGTGTGTGTGTGTGTGTCCAAGTCTGTGTGTGTGTGTGTGTCCGTGTCCAGGCGTTTGTCCGTGGTGTCCGTGTCCAAGTCTGTGTGTGGTGTGTCCGTGTCCAAGTCTGTGTGTGTGTGTGTCCGTGTCCAGCGTTTGTCCGTGTGTGTGTGTCCGTGTCCAGGCGTTTGTCCGTGTGTCCAAGTCTGTGTGTGTGTGTGTGTCCAAGTCTGTGTGTGTGTTGTGTGTGTCCGTGTCCAGGTTTTGTCCGTGTGTGTGTGTGTCCGTGTCCAGGTGTTTGCGTGTGTGTCCATGTCCAGGTGTTGTCCGTGTGTGTGTGTGTCCAGGTGTTTGTCCGTGTGTGTGTGTGTGTCCAAGTCTGTGTGTGTGTGTGTGTGTCCGTGTCCAGGTGTGTGTCCGTTGTGTGTGTCCGTGTCTGTGTGTCCAGGTGTGTGTGTCCAAGTCTGTGTGTGTGTCTGTGTGTGTGTGTGTGTGTGTGTGTCTGTCCGTGTGTCTATGTGTGTCTGTGTGTGTGTGTGTGTGTGTGTGTGTGTGTGTGTCCTACGTGTCTCAGGAAGCAGTGTGGGACTCTCAGCGGGTGCTTCCAGCAGGCCTCCAGCTCTCTCAGGAAGAACTGGCTGTGGAAGTCCAGCAGCTTCTCCAGGTTCCCGAAGACCACGGAGCGTTTCCCCCTCAGGTCCTGGGGCAGGTCGGCTCGGTCCATCTCGGGGAAGTAGTGGTGGATGATGTAGCGCAGCGAGCGAACGTACTCCCTCTCCGTGGTCACCATCTCCTCCACGACGTGCCGCAGCTTACTGAGGAGAGACAGCAGTCAGTTAGAGGAGGTGTCTCCTGCTGCTCTGAAGAAACTCTCCAGGCGGCGTTTGCAAATGTCTACAGTACAAACTGCAATACTTTGAAAGAACAAGCCGACCATGCCAGCCTAATTTCCTCAGGCAAGTCGTTCCAGAGTCTGGGGGCCCTGACAGCAAATGTCACCTTTTGTTCTTAGTCTGGCTCCAGGAAAAGACAGGAGGCCCTTGCCAGAAGATCTTAGACCACGGGAGGGCTCATACGGAGTTAAATATCTAAAATATAATCAGGAGCCAAGCCATGAATAGCCTTAAAAGTAATGAGTAAAATCTTAAAATCAATCCTAAAACAAACAGGGAGCCAGTGCAATGATGCTAAAACAGGGTGATATGATCATATTCTTGTCCTGTTAGGAGCCGAGCAGCTGAGTTCTGTACGGTCTGTAATCTATTCAGGGTTTTCTGATTAAGGCAAGTGAAGAGGCTGTTGCAATAATCAATGCGTGAGGAGATAAAAGCATCTATAACAGTTTCTGCATCTGTAACATTTAAACTTGGCCTTATTTTTGAGATATTTCTAAGGTGGTAAAAGCTGGACTGGACCACTATTACTATCGAATAACACGCCAAGATTTCTTGCAACAGGTGTCACGTGTTGTAGCAAGTAGCCAGAAGAGAGCAGAATTTGATTGCAGAGATATTGTGGACCTATAACCAGGATTTCTGTTTTATTGGAGTTAAGTTGTAGGAAATTATTTGACCTCCAATGTTTTAGATCGGTAAGGCAGTCCTGTAATGAACTCAGCATACTAAGGTCGGTGGGCTGTACAGGTAGGTATAACTGTGTGTCATCTGCATAACAATGGAAGAGATACCATGGCTGCGTACGATATCACCCAGAGGGAGCATATATAGAAAACAAAATAGGTCCAAGGATTGACCCCTGAGGCACACCGTAGTTGGTGGTAGAGAAGAAGATTTAAAATTATTTATAGAGACACAAAACTTCCTATTGGATAAGTATGAGGCAAACCAGTTCAGTGCTGAGTTAACCAGCGCCACCCTGCTGACTCCGCCCCCCTGACCGATCACTCACCTTCCTCTGGGTCGGGACTCCGTCGCCGGGCTGCCGCGTTCTGGGGGTGCCGGGGGTCCCGGGGCCGCGGCGCTGTCCTGCCCAGCTGTGAGCAGCCGTCCTGGGGCAGAGCGTGTGGTCGGCCGCCTCGCTGCTGCTGACCTCCAGGCCGCGGATGAACACGCCCGTGTTCCCTCTGCGCACCGGCTCGCTGAGGGCGCGTGGGCACGGGGCGAACCGCGAAGGCTCGGGGGTGGAGGGACAGTCGAAGCTCTGAGTCTTCCTGAGCTGCTGTCGTCTGCCGGAGGAGGAGAAGGAGGAGGGGGGTGGGCTGGAACTGGAGGAGCAGGTCTCCACCTGGACCGAGGACTCCCCTGAGGAGGAGCTGCGGAACAGACGCTGGAGGAGAGGGGTGTGCTGGCGGCCGAGAGGGGAGGAGGTGCAGGGAGCGTGGGTGAAGAGGGAGGAGGTGAGGGAGAGCAGGGAGGAGGAGGAGGTGTTACGAGGAGGGGAGGAGGGGCAGGGAGCTGGGGTGAAGGTGAAGAGTGAGGAGGAGGAGGTGTTACCAGGAGGGGAGGAGGTGAGCGAGAGCAAGGAGGAGGAGGAGGTGTTACCAGGAGGGGAGGAGGTGAGCGAGAGCAAGGAGGAGGAGGAGGTGTTACGAGGAGGGGAGGAGGTGAGCGAGAGCAAGGAGGAGGAGGAGGTGTTACGAGGAGGGGAGGAGTGTATGAGGAGGGGAGGAGGGGCAGGGAGCTGGGGTGGAGGTGAAGAGTGAGGAGGTGTTACGAGGAGGGGAGGAGGTGAGCGAGAGCAAGGAGGAGGAGGAGTTGTTACGAGGGGTGGGGGTGAGGGAGAGCAGGGAGGAGGAGGAGGTGTTATGAGGGGTGGGGGTGAGGGAGAGCAGGGAGGAGGAGGAGGTGTTACGAGGAAGGGAGGAGGTTTTGGAGTCCTCCTCAGGGGGACAGGAGGTCTCGTGGACCCCCCAGAGTCCTGACAGCGTTTTCCTGGAGGAGGCGGAGCTTCTACTGGAGGTGGAGTCAGAGCGCTGCCTGTGGGCGGAGTCTCGTGTCCTGAGCGCCGCCTCCATCTTCCTGTCAAACATCATCTTGGTCTCCTGACACTTGGACCAGGCAAAGCTCCACTGACGGAGCCCTCGCTCGCCGCGCAGCTCGCCCGCCACCGCCTTCATCTCCTGAAACCGGCCGTCCGGGATTGGCGGGTGTTGGCGGTGGTAGTCCTCCAGGCAGCCAATCACAGCCTGGCATTTGTCTGGCAGCGTGCACTCCTCCATACTGATACCAGCTAGGTGGCGCATGCCCTCCAACGCCCAGCCCATAGGCCTGCAGAGAGAGAGAGAGGGTCAGCTGTTCACATGTGATGCCATAGCAAGGGGGCGTGGCCTCAGATTAACCTCTGACCCTCATGTATCGGCCGATCAAACGGCTTAGTGTTCGTTATTCTAGCGTTATTGCAGCGGTACGAGAGGGTTTCTCTCTGCTTCACTATTATAAATACACATTTATAGCATTAGTATACGAGAGAATATAATTACAGTATAGTAAATATTTATGCAACTAAACTCAGGATTCAAGCTCCTCGTCCAAGCACCGGGGGGGGAGGGGGAGAGAGAGAGGGAGACAGTGGGGGAGGTCAGGGAATGACATCACCCTCCACGCTGGTAGAGAAAGCTTTGAAGTTGTAGCCGCGGCGCCACAAAGCAGCCGACCTCCTTTATGTAGAGGGGAGGAGGGGGAGGCTGTTATAAATAAGAAGAGGCCTCCTGCTTTTCTACACTGACGGACTGAATGAGTCTTTACCCTCCTTACAGACAGCTCACACATTACCTCACCACTAAAGCGACTGTCAGCGTCGGCAGACGCCCGTGCTGTTCACACTACACAACTTGCCATCATGTGACGGGAGTCTTGAAGTCGTTGTGGCGTTCACCATACGTGACTGATCGGTGACAGGGGGTCACACGCTACACCCAGGCTGTTCCAGGGCCCCGCGGCTCTGGAACAGCCTGCCTTCTTAAAACATACTTTTATAGGAGAGCCTTTCCCGATCTTATTAGACTTTATTTTATCCCTTTTATTTTATTCTATTTTAATTATTTTATATTTATCTTAAATGTGTATTTTAGTCTTTTCAATGTTTTCATGCTTTTATCTTGTATTGTTTTTGTATTATTGTCTTTACACTTGTTAAAGCACTTTGTAACTTGTTTTGGAAAAGTGCTCTATAAATAAAGATTATTATTATTATCTTATTACACGAGCTGACAAGGACAGTGTCACCCGACACTGGTCTCCAAACCATGTTTAGTCAAGAAAACGTGTGAAACAGGAAATGAGGCGAACCTACAGAGAAAAGAGCTGTTTGTTATTATAAAGACAAACATTATAAAGACAAAGAATCTGGGAGAAAGGATGGATTATCTCTGCAGAGAGCAGCAGGGGAGGAAAAAGGCTTCTGCAGTGAAAAGCAGCCGCCTGCTCTCATTGGCTGGATGTGGATGTCAGTCGGTCGACTCCTCCAGATATTTGGCGTGCTAGATATCTGGCTGGCGTCTGCGATGTGTCAGAAATGTGTCTGAGTGACAGGTGACATCAGAGGGTCGGGTGTTAGCTGGTTTGCACCTGAAGCTCGGTGGATAAATCGATCGTGTTTCTCAGAAGATGATGGAGACAGTGGACAGGGAGGCTGCTCCAGGGGCCCCGCGCTGTTCTACAGATCATTTTCCAGGACTCTTCTAACGTCTCCTGACCCAGACGCAGCGTGACGGCAGCTTTTTCAGACATGTTGCTGTCTGCACATCCGTCAGACTCTATTTAAACTCTGAATACATTGAACTTGGTGTATTAATATGCATGTGTAATATGGTAAAAAAAACGGGACTACTTCATCTGGGTGCAAATATCAAGAGAGGATTACTATGTTTTAAAGAATGCATCACATAGGCAGCATGCTGCCTTCAAAACTGGCCGTTACTGGGGCAGCTTCAAGGCGTCTTAGGAGACTCAGGAAGAGGTCGTTCGAGCCGTTTCGAACAGGACTAGATGCCTCGCTGTCCTGTTAGACACCTTCTGAGTCAGCAGTTTAGCCCGTTTCAAAGACAGCCCATGTGTTAGCCCCTTTACTAACGAAGCTTAGAGCTACGGCTAAACGGTTTCCTGTCACGTTACGGTGAATTTTATCGTAATGTAGCAAAGTGAAAAAGCGCCGTTAGCCGGTGTTTGATGCAGCTGGGCTCCCTCACTGTTCTGACCCGCATTCATTCTTATCCAACTTCCTCAACAACACATGTGAAACCACCAGAGCTGAAACGCAAACCTTCAACCTTAGCAGGTAAAAATCAGGCGAGCGAGCAGCAGGTAAACTTCAGCTCCTGAGTCAAACATGTTGGACATTATCAACAGTTTAAAACAAGTTGAGAAGAAACGTAACGGAGCAGCCAGCAGGGACTCACATTTACCTTTTAAGAAAACTTTCTTTATTCAGAGTTTCAGTCACTTGAATTAATGCCACCAACCATCCAGGCGTCTTCCATGACTGCAAAATTGATCAAATGTTTTCCAGGTTTTTCTGAAATACTTTCTGACACACTGAAATAACTGCTGTACATCCAAATACTGAAAATACCGATCTGATCTGAGTGAAAGTTCAACTGGAGAACCTGACGTGAGGTCAGCGGATGGACGTCTTAAAGCGGAGCGTCGTCCCTCACGCAGGATCTCTGCTCCAGTTCAGGCGGATATTAATATTAATTAGTGACGCCGACCTGACGCTGTCCGACTCATAAAGATCCCACATGTGCGGCATCATCATAACGCCAAGTTCAGTCAGACAGTTGACAACAATGAAGCCACACACACCCGCTGCTACAGTAGGCCAGTGGGTCAGCGGCGTGTCGGCTCAGTGCTCTTCTAACTGATTAGCTGGCTGATGTGTCCTGATCACTGCAGCCGCTCAGTTCCCACGCGCACACACACCCCGGCGCTATTGTGTGTATGTGAAAGGGTTCATTCAATCAGCTGAGTTAGGAGATGGGGGCGGGGCTTGGGGCTGAGTGAAATGACACTGATCTGGTTAAAGCGTCGTGTCTGTGAAAGACCTCAGAGCGTCTCAGTAGACACTGAGTGGTGGACAAACACCCGTTCAGAGGCTTCAGCAGAGGCTGAGCCGTCTGTCACCGGGTCCCAGAGCCATAAGGTCTCTGAGGGCTCCCTCAGGCTGCTGACCACCTCTGATCCACATCTGACCCATGTTCTGACCCGCAGATGGTTCTCAGTGAGCTTCAGCTTTACGTTCTGCAGCACGACGCCCTGAGCGACTGTCGCTGGCCTGCAGCGAGTGAAATAAGCATGTGACCCGTTTTGACCCCAGTCCAACCAGACAAACACATCTGACCTCTGTGCAGGACGCTCAGTGAGACATCACTACATCACCCATTTCACTCTGGATTCACTCTGCAACTAACAGCTGTTTACTCTTCGTCTTTTCTCTCTGATCACTGAACGGTTGGTCTGTGAAGTGAACGAGTGACTTTGGTCCTTCCGGTTCATGTAGAGAACGAGACACGGCAGTTTACCAGGCACTCTCCAGGTGCGTTATGGGAAAGGTAGGACCTAGGGTTTCTGGACTAAATTCAGGATGTCTCCACCTCTGCTGCTCAGATTTGGTTTTTGAATCTGTTTCCTTCGAGTCCTTTGACTTTATAAAGGTGCGATACCAAACTGATTTGGTGCCCTCAATCATTAAAACAGACAAGAGCTGGTTTTATCTTCTGATCACTGATCGATCGACGTACTATTTCAGCTTCACTGTTTTACTCTGGAAGTTTCAAAACAAGAGGAGAGGAGAGGGGGACTGGGACTCTAATGACAATAACATGTGGTTGTTATTGTGCTGCAGAGACAGAAGGGGGGGGGGGGGGGGGCAGGACTGACCAGGACCAGACAGGCTCTGGTTTTTGGGGACAGAGGCCCTGCAGGACTCCAGACTTGGATCCAGTCAACCAAAGAGGAGAGAAGAAGGGGAGGAGGAGGAGAAGGAGGAGGAGGAGGAGGAGGAGGAGGGTCCTACTTCAGACAGTTTATACACCAACTTATTTACTGAGCCAATCAGCTGTTGTTTTTAGAGCTTCAGCAGGAAACAGACTGGACTGCTGGATCCTGAACTGATCATCACTTCAGCTGTTTTTCCTGTTATTGACTTTTTAAAAGCACAAACCATCAGAGACCCACGGACCTTTAGGCTCTTTGCCTTTGAAACCTGACAGCTGCGGCGTCTCTTCCAGCTGTATTTGATATTTAGAGTCTGTTTCCTGAGAATCAAACTCGTCTCTGCTGCGGGGATCTGATCACTAACTGTCCTCACTGCAGATGTGAAGATCAGCGAGGACCTGAGGAGGAACTGAACTGAAGCTCTGCGGCTCACTGAGGCACCAACGGAGGAGAAACGGCCTCCTCCTCCTGGTTCTGGTGTTTTGGTTCAGGTTGATCTCCAGGACACACGCAGCGTACTGCAGGACGCACTGATTACAGCGTCGACCAATCACACCCACAGAAGGTCGGTCGGTGACTTCCACCCGATTAGGATGTTTAGAAAGTGTTTGAGATGTCACACAAGAAGTGAGCTCCTCGCCGTATCTCGCCAGCTGGAACACAAACTGTTCACCGCTGATCTGACCGCGTTCTCCGAGAACATGACACACAGAACCAGGAACCACACAAACACACAGCTTTATTTACAGATCTGAATCTGTCAGGGTGAACTCTGGGTAAAACACTGCAGCAGGAAACCGGGAGTCTGACACACGGCGTGCTGCAGGACGCGCTCTGTAACGATGGAGGAGCCTAAACTCCGCCTCTCTGCAGGGTCAGAGCGTCCCGCAGCAGGTGAACCAACTGATCCCATCAAACCACTGAGTTACTGTCACGCTGCCCACGTCTTACAGGACACGCCGCTGCCTCCAACTATTCTACACCAGAACCAAAGTCACCGCCGAGCCTGAACCGGATCCCAACCTGGACCTAAAACCACGTCAGAACCCTCCATCAGACCCGGACCCACTCACACGGGTCCAGCTAACGTCTGCTAACACACACACACACACACACAGGGAGGGAGACAGAGAGAGAGAGTAGAGCAGCGTTCAAATCACAGACCGCTCTGAAGTCAAACTGACGCCAACTAAACACCAAACTACTCAACAACTACACACAAACTACACAACACTATTAAAGCTGCACACCTGTGTGTGTGTGTGTGTGTGTGTGTGTGTGTGTGTTAGTGGATCGTACCTCGGTGTGTTCTGGTGAAGCGCTGCAGCCTGACTGAGAGCGGCAGCCCGACCACACACACACAGTGACCCCGCCCCCCCCCAGGCTGAATGGCAGATGGGCGGTCCCAGGAGGAGGGGGAGGGGGGGTCGCCACGGCAACAAAGACTTTGAGAAAGGAGTGAAAGGAGGAAGGAAAACTTGGCACCGGAGTCACACCTGGACTACACACTAACACACACACACAGTTTCACATGTGTCTGTCCGGACCAAACACCATGTGGAGATACGGGGTTTCCAGCGGACGCAGTTTCACGCTGTGACTCTTTGTGTGTGTGTGTGTTAGTTTTAGTGTGTGTTAGTTTTAGTGTGTGTGTGTGTGTGTGTTAGTTTTAGTGTGTGTGTGTGTTAGTTTTAGTGTGTGTGTTAGTTTTAGTGTGTGTGTGTTAGTTTTAGTGTGTGTGTGTGTGTGTTAGTTTTAGTGTGTGTGTGTGTTAGTTTAGTGTGTGTGTGTGTGTTAGTTTAGTGTGTGTGTTAGTTTTAGTGTGTGTGTGTGTGTGTGTGTGTGTGTTAGTTTTAGTGTGTGTGTGTGTGTTAGTTTTAGTGTGTGTGTGTGTTAGTTTTAGTGTGTGTGTGTGTGTTAGTTTTAGTGTGTGTGTGTGTGTGTTAGTTTTAGTGTGTGTGTGTGTGTTAGTTTTAGTGTGTGTGTGTGTGTGTTAGTTTTAGTGTGTGTGTGTTCTGTGTGGCCCAACAGTGAGTCCACGATAATCCCAAGTCCACGTCCTGAACTACAATGAGCTGCCACTGATACGGACACACACACACACACTCCTACAGTACAGGTCACGTGACCATCACCCCCTTTATAGCCAGCAGAGGCCAGGATACAAAACATTATTGACACTCTCACCCCCGCCCCCCCACCTCCCTCAATACAAGCTGTCAGTTTCACTGCAGGAAGACGACAGGGAGGGGGGAGGAGGAGGAGGAGGAGGAGGAGGAGGAGGAGGAGATGTGTGAACGCTCCCTGACATCTCATGTAAAAGCAGCAGGTGGATTTCGGCTACGCGGCGTCCACACATTTCGTTCTGATGTTAAAATGTTTAAAGCGTCTAGCAGTTTCAAAAACGCTCACCACCCACACCAACACGCCTGAAAACGACATCACATGAACGCGTGCCGGCAGAAACAGGAAGCAAACTGTCTAATGGTTTATTTGCAGAAAACACGACAGGCTGACAGGAACTGTACCTGGTCCAAGAAGCGGTACAGTCGCACGGCCCGCTCGATGTTCTGGCCGCTGGCGTTGACCCGCTGAGAGAAGTCCTGAAGCTGAGCCCAGAAAGAATGAACCTTGGCCTCATAGACGTGGAGGTCAGCTGACGACATGTCGCCCCAACGCTCCAGACGAGCCAACAAGGCCTCGCCACGTCTGCAGCGCTCCTGCAGGGAGAGAAGAAGAAAACAGATGAACATCTGTGTGCAGGACCGTTCTCCTGTGTTCATGGAGTCCAAGAACCGGGATTCACCTGGAGGGTCCGACCGCTTCGGGTTTAAAGTTAAGACCTGGTTTTAGGGCCCAGCTCAGGGGAAAGGGCCGTTTAAGACCTGGGTTTAGGACCCAGCTAAGGGGAAAGGGCCGTTTAAGACCTGGTTTTAGGGCCCAGCTAAGGGGAAAGGGCCGTTTAAGACCTGGTTTTAGGGCCCAGCTAAGGGGAAAGGGCCGTTTAAGACCTGGTTTTAGGGCCCAGCTCAGGGGAAAGGGCCGTTTAAGACCTGGTTTTAGGGCCCAGGTCAAGGGAAAGGGCCGTTTAAGACCTGGTTTTAGGGCCCAGCTCAGGGGAAAGGGCCGTTTAAGACCTGGTTTTAGGGCCCAGGTCAAGGGAAAGGGCCGTTTAAGACCTGGTTTTAGGGCCCAGGTCAAGGGAAAGGGCCGTTTAAGACCTGGTTTTAGGGCCCAGCTCAGGGGAAAGGGCCGTTTAAGACCTGGTTTTAGGGCCCAGGTCAAGGGAAAGGGCCGTTTAAGACCTGGTTTTAGGGCCCAGGTCAAGGGAAAGGGCCGTTTAAGACCTGGTTTTAGGGCCCAGGTCAAGGGAAAGGGCCGTTTAAGACCTGGTTTTAGGGCCCAGCTCAGGGGAAAGGGCCGTTTAAGACCTGGTTTTAGGGCCCAGCTCAGGGGAAAGGGCCGTTTAAGACCTGGTTTTAGGGCCCAGCTCAGGGGAAAGGGCCGTTTAAGACCTGGTTTTAGGGCCCAGGTCAAGGGAAAGGGCCGTTTAAGACCTGGTTTTAGGGCCCAGCTCAGGGGAAAGGGCCGTTTAAGACCTGGTTTTAGGGCCCAGCTCAGGGGAAAGGGCCGTTTAAGACCTGGTTTTAGGGCCCAGGTCAAGGGAAAGGGCCGTTTAAGACCTGGTTTTAGGGCCCAGGTCAAGGGAAAGGGCCGTTTAAGACCTGGTTTTAGGGCCCAGCTCAGGGGAAAGGGCCGTTTAAGACCTGGTTTTAGGGCCCAGCTCAGGGGAAAGGGCCGTTTAAGACCTGGTTTTAGGGCCCAGGTCAAGGGAAAGGGCCGTTTAAGACCTGGTTTTAGGGCCCAGGTCAAGGGAAAGGGCCGTTTAAGACCTGGTTTTAGGGCCCAGGTCAAGGGAAAGGGCCGTTTAAGACCTGGTTTTAGGGCCCAGGTCAAGGGAAAGGGCCGTTTAAGACCTGGTTTTAGGACCCAGCTCAGGGGAAAGGGCCGTTTAAGACCTGGTTTTAGGGCCCAGGTCAAGGGAAAGGGCCGTTTAAGACCTGGTTTTAGGGCCCAGGTCAAGGGAAAGGGCCGTTTAAGACCTGGTTTTAGGGCCCAGCTCAGGGGAAAGGGCCGTTTAAGACCTGGTTTTAGGGCCCAGCTCAGGGGAAAGGGCCGTTTAAGACCTGGTTTTAGGGCCCAGCTCAGGGGAAAGGGCCGTTTAAGACCTGGTTTTAGGGCCCAGCTCAGGGGAAAGGGCCGTTTAAGACCTGGTTTTAGGGCCCAGCTCAAGGGAAAGGGCCGTTTAAGACCTGGTTTTAGGGCCCAGGTCAAGGGAAAGGGCCGTTTAAGACCTGGTTTTAGGACCCAGCTCAGGGGAAAGGGCCGTTTAAGACCTGGTTTTAGGGCCCAGGTCAAGGGAAAGGGCCGTTTAAGACCTGGTTTTAGGGCCCAGGTCAAGGGAAAGGGCCGTTTAAGACCTGGTTTTAGGGCCCAGCTCAGGGGAAAGGGCCGTTTAAGACCTGGTTTTAGGGCCCAGGTCAAGGGAAAGGGCCGTTTAAGACCTGGTTTTAGGGCCCAGCTCAGGGGAAAGGGCCGTTTAAGACCTGGTTTTAGGACCCAGCTCAGGGGAAAGGGCCGTTTAAGACCTGGTTTTAGGGCCCAGGTCAAGGGAAAGGGCCGTTTAAGACCTGGTTTTAGGGCCCAGCTCAAGGGAAAGGGCCGTTTAAGACCTGGTTTTAGGGCCCAGCTCAAGGGAAAGGGCCGTTTAAGACCTGGTTTTAGGGCCCAGCTCAGGGGAAAGGGCCGTTTAAGACCTGGTTTTAGGGCCCAGCTCAGGGGAAAGGGCCGTTTAAGACCTGGTTTTAGGGCCCAGGTCAAGGGAAAGGGCCGTTTAAGACCTGGTTTTAGGGCCCAGCTAAGGGGAAAGGGCCGTTTAAGACCTGGTTTTAGGGCCCAGCTCAGGGGAAAGGGCCGTTTAAGACCTGGTTTTAGGGCCCAGCTCAGGGGAAAGGGCCGTTTAAGACCTGGTTTTAGGGCCCAGGTCAAGGGAAAGGGCCGTTTAAGACCTGGTTTTAGGGCCCAGCTCAGGGGAAAGGGCCGTTTAAGACCTGGTTTTAGGGCCCAGGTCAAGGGAAAGGGCCGTTTAAGACCTGGTTTTAGGGCCCAGCTCAGGGGAAAGGGCCGTTTAAGACCTGGTTTTAGGGCCCAGCTCAGGAGAAAGGGCCGTTTAAGACCTGGTTTTAGGGCCCAGCTCAGGGGAAAGGGCCGTTTAAGACCTGGTTTTAGGGCCCAGCTCAGGGGAAAGGGCCGTTTAAGACCTGGTTTTAGGGCCCAGCTCAAGGGAAAGGGCCGTTTAAGACCTGGTTTTAGGGCCCAGCTCAGGGGAAAGGGCCGTTTGAGTGTGTGTGTGTGTGTGTGTGTGTGTGTGTGTGTGTGTGTGTGTGTGTGTGTGTGCGCGCGCCTTACATATGCAGTAGTGTGGAAATCTTTGAAGTCGTGTTGCTTCTTGTTCAGAAGCTCCAGTGAATCCTCCGGTTCACTCAGACTCTTCAGACGAACCTCCCCGACCTCCTCCAGCCAGGAGCTCACCTGAGACACAGGTATGATTTTACTAGTTGGTAAGACAGCAGCAAAGCCAAAAGGGGTTCTGGGAACTGGGCTGCACCTAAACATGACTTTTTAATTGATTAATCTAACCTTTATTTTCTTTTGATCAGTTCATTAATATAACAATTAAAATAAATATCACAAAGGTGTCTTTTTAATATTCCAACATGTTATTCAGTCATAAAGCTCATCAGGATCATAGCAGCGTATTTATCAGATTGGAGCCGCATATGGATGCGACATGGCCTGTTCACACCGTCATAAAAAGATCAGATCTGAGTCACATATGGGCATATCATCGGGTTTGGGTCGCTGCGGCCTGCAGTCTGAACGCAGCCCTTGTGTCAGATGCCACTAACAGCTGTCTGAACTGGAGGCTGACTGAGCAGATCTGTGGTGTGGGAGACATTTCACTTCCTTTCGCTCTCTGGTGCACAAACTGATCCTGAGAGACAGCATGTTGGCTCATGATGAAACAAGGTGATGCACCTCAGCAGCAGGGTGTCACAGGTGTGGCTGGACTGCAGACTGAAATGTGCTAAAGGTCTGAATCTTCACAGTAACACGATGACCTTCCTGTCAGCAGAGTGCGTACTGAGCGTGCTCAGACTGACCTCGGTGAAGCCCTGCTCCAGGCTTCTGAACTCCAGGATGAAGTGCAGCTCCTGGGTCCTGGAGTTGGACAGCATCACCAGGCGGTGCAGCAGCTCGTCCACCTCCTCGTACAGAGACGACACCGTCTCCATCGCCGCCCGGTAATCTTCGGTCTCTCTGACGCTGCTCTCCTCCCTGCGGAGCCGCGACAGTGAGGCTCCGCCCTCCTGCTGTAACTGTACCAATCGGCTGTCTTCGAGGATGCTACGCATCACCGCCTTGTACCTGGACAACAGCAGCTCGGCGTCCTGGGAAAGAGAGGGAGGTTTGTTGAGCGCTCCGGCCGTGTGACACGAAGGGAGGCGGAGCTGAGGAACCGAACCAGCGGCATGATGATCTGCAGCTCACGGTCAGGCCTGCAGTTTGTTCACGTGGTCACAGGCGTGTTTGTAATTAGTCAGTGACCTCATGAAGGTTAAAGAAAGGTGTGTGTTACCTGAGCTGCAGCAGGTAGAGGTGTGGACTGCAGGATGTTGATGGTTTTCTGCAGGAGGTTGACGACGTTTTCACACTGACTGGTCAGCTGCTCCACCCTCTGACGGACACACACACACACACACACACACACACACACGTTAACACGTCATGTGCAGAAACAGCTGCAGCTGAAAGAGTTGGCGATTCTCTCTCTGTGGGTTCACTATGAACAGTCATGTGAGAACACTGACGAAAGAAGCGGATCGACAAAGATCTGAGGGTTCTGTTACATTTCGATCCAACAGAAACATAAAAGCAAAGAAAAACTATGAACAGCAAAGTGTGCTTCATAAAACTACAGCAGGAGAACACTGTGGAGGGGAGGGGCGCCACCTGTGATAACTACCTGACTGTGGTCGTCCAATCAGAGCATGAATAAGAGTGTCTGTGTGTTTGTACTGACCGATCTGAAGCAGAGCCAGCTGCTCTGACTGAAGCTGAAAGACCCTCCGAACTCTGCGGGAAGCTGCTGGAGCGCCACGTGTTTCTGGACAGACTTCAGAGAGCTCAACACCTCCACCTGCGCACACAGAAACACACACGGTGTGTACGTGCTGTGTGCAGTCACATGATGAAAACCACAATCTGCTCTCTGTTAGCAGGCAGGGGGGGGGGGAGAGAAACCTGGTTTCCTCAGGTAGATTTCACCTGGACAGAGACTGTTGATATATTTAGCCAGGTGAGAGCATGTGCAGAACTACAGACTGCAGAACGGCTGGATGGAAGCAGATCCAAAATAAGATCAGAGGTCGGGGAGAAGTCTGATCACTGAGCTGCTGCACGCTAGGGCTGGGTATCGATTAAAATGTTACGACACCAGTACCAAAACCAGTACCCTTAAAGTGATACCAATACCAAAAGAGTACTTATCCAACGAAGGTTTAAATCAAGGGCAACTGGACTTGGCTGAAGATCCAAGAAGACATTTCGGCCCTCATCTGAGAGCCAAGTCTGAACGACCATCGTTGGCATCTTCACCTGAAGCCAAGAGGAAATGCTCGAGTTTCCTGCGAAGTGATGAAAGTGGGGGGTAAGTGGTGGCGTAGACCCCCTCCTCTGTTCAGCGACGGCTTCTCAACCCGGGTGTAGGTGCTTCCTTGACACCTCTTTCAAACAGTCGATCCTCTTTGTCTAAAATGTGCACCTGGTGTCCTCGGTCCTTCAGATGTAAGTAGACTGCAGAGTCTTGACCTGAGGAGTTGGCCCTTCTGTGTTGAGCCATGCGTTTGTGTAGTGGTTTAGTTTATTTAGTCAGTCAGAACTGAAGAAGTCTCTCGGATGAGGGACGAAACGTCTCCTAGTATCTTCAACCAAGTCAAGTTGCCCTTGACCTCAACCTTCGTTGGATAACTAAGAAACTTCACAGACAACAGAGTACTTCATTCGATACCTTGATATGCCACCTGTTGAAGCTGTAGTAGTTGATTGGTAGCGTATTATTATTTTTATTGTTCTTATGGACAAGCAAGGTTATCTATTTTATTTTTTTCGTGTTTCAAATATCTGTTACGTAAAAGTTTAGGGGAACTGTATCAGATCCTGCTCGTCCTGATTAGGTCCGGAGGCTCCGTCAGGAAAATCAGCTGCTGCGCCACAAAAGCTTTAACTGGTGTGATGGAACGCAGCGATCGATCAGTGACAAGTGATGGGAACAGCAAATAAAAATGTACAGAGACGTGTTAAATGATCTCAGAGGATAAAAACAACAGAAAGCCGAGCTTGTGGTGAGAAACACGCCTGAGACGCAGCCGAAGGTGAGCGGCTGTTAAAATCAGCATAGAGCCTTATTTACACAGTTTATGGTGCAGGAGAAAAAGCTGCTCTTCTCTTTCTTTCTGTGTGTTTGGCTGCAAGTGAAACCACACAAAGTCATTTTCTGCTACCATCTGGTGACAGAAAGTATTGATTGAAGTACTGATTTGACTGGAGACGATTCAATTCTACTCCATACCGGCTGCTTCTGTTGATAACATAAAAGGTATCGACGGAAGTGATACCCGTCCCTACTGCACACACGTGTGGTTTCGACAGTAACCAGGTGTCAGGCGTTACCTGTGTGGCTGCAGGTCTGTCCGGACGCAGAGACGAGTCCTTGCTGACCAGCAGGAACACAGTGTGGATGGAGCCTGGTACGTTCTCCTGCACAGACACACAGACTCAGAGTAAGATTCGTCTTTAATCAGCTGTCGCTTTCACCCCCCACCTCCCTCACAAGGAGCTGAAACACTGAGACCAGAGGACGAAGACGTGCTGCTGCTGGTCCCCTCAGGAGGGGGTTTAAACCAGGACCAGGGAGAGGACGACTCCTGACCTCCTGAGCCTGATGATTTTCCACCTGTTCTCATGTGTCAATATTCAAACAACATCCTGAGAAGTTCTTTGTGAAACATGAAATGCAAATCAACTTGAAGCCCGGCACTGTAATATTGAGACGGTGGTTTGGACTTTCTTAGTCTGCCCGCCCGTCTACAGCGTTATAAAGTTTCATCTCTGAACAGCCGAGTCTTGAGACTTCATCCGTTTCATCTCACTGAACTTTACCTCCTCTAACTTTAAAAACACTCACCTGTAGGGACCTGAGGGCGGAGAACAGGGCGGGGACAGGAGCGGCTCTGCGGGCGTCCACCAGCACCGTCAGCCCCAACGCTGCCACCTCCTTCCTGTTCCACACAAGAAGTGACGTCAGAGGAGGACCACGGTACAGTAAGCTGAGAGAGAGAGCGGTGGAGCGGGTGGGGGTTCCTACCTGAGGGTGGAGGTGTAGTAGAGCAGGAGGCGGAGCAGCTCTGCGCTGTCACAGTCGGGGTTCGACCACACGGTGTTCGTGGTGCTGACCGCCAGCAAAGCGCGGCCACTGCGGTCTCTGGTTCCTGCAGAGAGACGGTGGAGGTGTAAAAATGTATCGAGCTGCAAGGAAACAGGACCAGAACCAAGACTTCATTTTATCGGTGAACCTGATCGGATCTAATCAGGGCTCATTACAGAACCCGTGTGTCCCGGTGATGACATCATGCTTCAAACACCATCAGTCACATGATCGTCGCTGCTTCACACTAAAACAAAGCTCGGAGCTCCGGACTCAAGTGGACATTCAGAACCACCAGAAGCTCGTTTCATGCCTTGACCCTGGTCTGGGTTTAGTCCCGAGCTCGGTCTGTTCCGGGGTCAGTACCTGCTCCGGGTCTAGACCTGTTTTTTCTCACCTGGCAGACAGAGGGCTCCAGAGCTCAGCAGCAACCGGTAGAAGCTGGATTGCTTGGACTGGGAGGACTGGGTGAGCCTCACTGGGGCTGAGGAAGCAGCTGACTGGTCCGGCTGTGGAGAGGCTACGGGTTGTTCTGGTTCTGTTGGACTGGGACCAGCAGACAGACTGCTGAGGCCTGAGGAGAGAACACGCACACCCTGTGAGGACCGTCACTGTGACACAACACATAAACCCCAAAACCAGCTCTTTACCCTCCAACAGACCTTTAAAGACGGGAGAACCTCACTGAGGCCAGTTTATACTTCTGCACTGAACGTACACCTGCCTGACGCGCACACCCCCAAAAACGTGACTCCATGTCGCGCCGACGCAGACCAGAGAGAGCAGACGGGATGAGCACCGTTTACGGTAGCAGAAAGTAACAAGACCTTTTTTTAAAAGCCTACTAAATGTTCCGAAACCCCATAACTGCCACGCTGCCATCACTCAGATTACAGACAGAGCTGAGGGCTTCATTCTGGTTTCCCGTTGATGTGAACTGGAGCATTAAGTTTACTGCTGTGGGCGGAGGTCAGGCGAAAAAAAATCAATATTCGAATCCCAAAATTGAAAATCGAATGTGTACCCAACAATCAAATATTCAGGTCGAGCCCTACTAACCAGCCAACCTCCAACTAGTCCTCTAACCAGCTGACCTGCAGTCCTCTAACTAGTCCTCTAACTAGTCCACTAACCAGCCGACCTGCAGTCCTCTAATCAGCTGACCTGCAGTCCTCTAACTAGTCCACTAACCAGCCAACCTCCAACTAGTCCTCTAACCAGCTGACCTGCAGTCCTCTAACTAGTCCTCTAACTAGTCCACTAACCAGCCAACCTCCAACTAGTCCTCTAACCAGCTGACCTGCAGTCCTCTAACCAGCTGACCTGCAGTCCTCTAACTAGTCCTCTAACCAGCTGACCTGCAGTCCTCTAATTAGTCCTCTAACCAGCTGACCTGCAGTCCTCTAACCAGCTGACCTGCAGTCCTGTAATTAGTCCTCTAACCAGCTGACCTGCAGTCCTGTAATTAGTCCTCTAACCAGCTGACCTGCAGTCCTCTAACCAGCTGACCTGCAGTCCTCTAACTAGTCCTCTAACCAGCTGACCTGCAGTCCTCTAACCAGCTGACCTGCAGTCCTCTAACCAGCTGACCTGCAGTCCACTAACCAGCTGACCTGCAGTCCTCTAACTAGTCCTCTAACCAGCTGACCTGCAGTCCTCTAACCAGCTGACCTGCAGTCCTCTAACCAGCTGACCTGCAGTCCACTAACTAGTCCTCTAACCAGCTGACCTGCAGTCCTCTAACCAGCTGACCTGCAGTCCTCTAACCAGCTGACCTGCAGTCCTCTAACTAGTCCTCTAACCAGCTGACCTGCAGTCCTCTAACCAGCTGACCTGCAGTCCACTAACCAGCTGACCTGCAGTCCTCTAACTAGTCCTCTAACCAGCTGACCTGCAGTCCTCTAACTAGTCCTCTAACCAGCTGACCTGCAGTCCTGTAATTAGTCCTCTAACCAGCTGACCTGCAGTCCTCTAACCAGCTGACCTGCAGTCCACTAACCAGCTGACCTGCAGTCCTCTAACCAGCTGACCTGCAGTCCTCTAACTAGTCCTCTAACCAGCTGACCTGCAGTCCTCTAACCAGCTGACCTGCAGTCCTCTAACTAGTCCTCTAACCAGCTGACCTGCAGTCCTCTAACCAGCTGACCTGCAGTCCACTAACCAGCTGACCTGCAGTCCTCTAACCAGCTGACCTGCAGTCCACTAACCAGCTGACCTGCAGTCCACTAACCAGCTGACCTGCAGTCCACTAACCAGCTGACCTGCAGTCCACTAACCAGCTGACCTGCAGTCCTCTAACCAGCTGACCTGCAGTCCTCTAACTAGTCCTCTAACCAGCTGACCTGCAGTCCTCTAACCAGCTGACCTGCAGTCCACTAACCAGCTGACCTGCAGTCCTCTAACCAGCTGACCTGCAGTCCTCTAACTAGTCCTCTAACCAGCTGACCTGCAGTCCTCTAACCAGCTGACCTGCAGTCCTCTAACTAGTCCTCTAACCAGCTGACCTGCAGTCCACTAACCAGCTGACCTGCAGTCCTCTAACTAGTCCTCTAACCAGCTGACCTGCAGTCCTCTAACCAGCTGACCTGCAGTCCTCTAACCAGCTGCTCTGCAGTCCTCTAACCAGCTGCTCTGCAGTCCTCTAACCAGCTGACCTGCAGTCCTCTAACTAGTCCTCTAACCAGCTGACCTGCAGTCCTCTAACCAGCTGACCTGCAGTCCTCTAACCAGCTGACCTGCAGTCCTCTAACCAGCTGACCTGCAGTCCTCTAACTAGTCCTCTAACCAGCTGACCTGCAGTCCTCTAACCAGCTGACCTGCAGTCCTCTAACCAGCTGACCTGCAGTCCTCTAACCAGCTGACCTGCAGTCCTCTAACCAGCTGACCTGCAGTCCTCTAACCAGCTGACCTGCAGTCCTCTAACCAGCTGACCTGCAGTCCTCTAACCAGCTGACCTGCAGTCCTCTAACCAGCTGACCTGCAGTCCTCTAACCAGCTGACCTGCAGTCCTCTAACCAGCTGCTCTGCAGTCCTCTAACCAGCTGACCTGCAGTCCTCTAACTAGTCCTCTAACCAGCTGCTCTGCAGTCCTCTAACCAGCTGACCTGCAGTCCTCTAACTAGTCCTCTAACCAGCTGACCTGCAGTCCTCTAATTAGTCCTCTAACCAGCTGACCTGCAGTCCTCTAACTAGTCCTCTAACCAGCTGACCTGCAGTCCTCTAACCAGTCCTCTAACCAGCTGACCTGCAGTCCTCTAATTAGTCCTCTAACCAGCTGACCTGCAGTCCTCTAACCAGTCCTCTAACCAGCTGACCTGCAGTCCACTAACCAGCTGACCTGCAGTCCTCTAACCAGCTGACCTGCAGTCCTCTAACCAGCTGACCTGCAGTCCACTAACCAGCTGACCTGCAGTCCTCTAACTAGTCCTCTAACCAGCTGACCTGCAGTCCTCTAACCAGCTGACCTGCAGTCCACTAACCAGCTGACCTGCAGTCCACTAACCAGCTGACCTGCAGTCCACTAACCAGCTGACCTGCAGTCCTCTAACCAGCTGACCTGCAGTCCTCTAACTAGTCCTCTAACCAGCTGACCTGCAGTCCTCTAACCAGCTGACCTGCAGTCCACTAACCAGCTGACCTGCAGTCCTCTAACCAGCTGACCTGCAGTCCTCTAACTAGTCCTCTAACCAGCTGACCTGCAGTCCTCTAACCAGCTGACCTGCAGTCCACTAACCAGCTGACCTGCAGTCCTCTAACTAGTCCTCTAACCAGCTGACCTGCAGTCCTCTAACTAGTCCTCTAACCAGCTGACCTGCAGTCCTCTAACCAGCTGCTCTGCAGTCCTCTAACCAGCTGACCTGCAGTCCTCTAACTAGTCCTCTAACCAGCTGCTCTGCAGTCCTCTAACCAGCTGACCTGCAGTCCTCTAACTAGTCCTCTAACCAGCTGACCTGCAGTCCTCTAATTAGTCCTCTAACCAGCTGACCTGCAGTCCTCTAACTAGTCCTCTAACCAGCTGACCTGCAGTCCTCTAACCAGTCCTCTAACCAGCTGACCTGCAGTCCTCTAATTAGTCCTCTAACCAGCTGACCTGCAGTCCTCTAACCAGTCCTCTAACCAGCTGACCTGCAGTCCACTAACCAGCTGACCTGCAGTCCTCTAACCAGCTGACCTGCAGTCCTCTAACCAGCTGACCTGCAGTCCACTAACCAGCTGACCTGCAGTCCTCTAACTAGTCCTCTAACCAGCTGACCTGCAGTCCTCTAACCAGCTGACCTGCAGTCCACTAACCAGCTGACCTGCAGTCCACTAACCAGCTGACCTGCAGTCCACTAACCAGCTGACCTGCAGTCCACTAACCAGCTGACCTGCAGTCCTCTAACTAGTCCTCTAACCAGCTGACCTGCAGTCCACTAACCAGCTGACCTGCAGTCCTCTAACCAGCTGACCTGCAGTCCTCTAACTAGTCCTCTAACCAGCTGACCTGCAGTCCTCTAACCAGCTGACCTGCAGTCCTCTAACCAGCTGACCTGCAGTCCACTAACCAGCTGACCTGCAGTCCTCTAACCAGCTGACCTGCAGTCCACTAACCAGCTGACCTGCAGTCCTCTAACCAGCTGACCTGCAGTCCACTAACCAGCTGACCTGCAGTCCACTAACCAGCTGACCTGCAGTCCTCTAACCAGCTGACCTGCAGTCCTCTAACTAGTCCTCTAACCAGCTGACCTGCAGTCCTCTAACCAGCTGACCTGCAGTCCACTAACCAGCTGACCTGCAGTCCTCTAACCAGCTGACCTGCAGTCCTCTAACTAGTCCTCTAACCAGCTGACCTGCAGTCCTCTAACCAGCTGACCTGCAGTCCTCTAACTAGTCCTCTAACCAGCTGACCTGCAGTCCACTAACCAGCTGACCTGCAGTCCTCTAACCAGCTGACCTGCAGTCCTCTAACTAGTCCTCTAACCAGCTGACCTGCAGTCCTCTAACCAGCTGACCTGCAGTCCTCTAACCAGCTGCTCTGCAGTCCTCTAACCAGCTGACCTGCAGTCCTCTAACTAGTCCTCTAACCAGCTGACCTGCAGTCCTCTAACCAGCTGACCTGCAGTCCTCTAACCAGCTGACCTGCAGTCCTCTAACCAGCTGACCTGCAGTCCTCTAACTAGTCCTCTAACCAGCTGACCTGCAGTCCTCTAACCAGCTGACCTGCAGTCCTCTAACCAGCTGACCTGCAGTCCTCTAACCAGCTGACCTGCAGTCCTCTAACCAGCTGACCTGCAGTCCTCTAACCAGCTGCTCTGCAGTCCTCTAACCAGCTGACCTGCAGTCCTCTAACTAGTCATCTAACCAGCTGACCTGCAGTCCTCTAATTAGTCCTCTAACCAGCTGACCTGCAGTCCTCTAACTAGTCCTCTAACCAGCTGACCTGCAGTCCTCTAACCAGTCCTCTAACCAGCTGACCTGCAGTCCTCTAATTAGTCCTCTAACCAGCTGACCTGCAGTCCACTAACCAGCTGACCTGCAGTCCTCTAACCAGCTGACCTGCAGTCCACTAACCAGCTGACCTGCAGTCCACTAACCAGCTGACCTGCAGTCCTCTAACCAGCTGACCTGCAGTCCTCTAACCAGCTGACCTGCAGTCCACTAACCAGCTGACCTGCAGTCCTCTAACTAGTCCTCTAACCAGCTGACCTGCAGTCCACTAACCAGCTGACCTGCAGTCCTCTAACCAGCTGACCTGCAGTCCTCTAACTAGTCCTCTAACCAGCTGACCTGCAGTCCTCTAACCAGCTGACCTGCAGTCCTCTAACTAGTCCTCTAACCAGCTGACCTGCAGTCCTCTAACCAGCTGACCTGCAGTCCTCTAACTAGTCCTCTAACCAGCTGACCTGCAGTCCTCTAACCAGCTGACCTGCAGTCCTCTAACTAGTCCTCTAACCAGCTGACCTGCAGTCCTCTAACCAGCTGACCTGCAGTCCTCTAACCAGCTGACCTGCAGTCCTCTAACTAGTCCTCTAACCAGCTGACCTGCAGTCCTCTAACCAGCTGACCTGCAGTCCTCTAACTAGTCCTCTAACCAGCTGACCTGCAGTCCTCTAACCAGCTGACCTGCAGTCCTCTAACTAGTCCACTAATAAACCAGTTCACCAACGGGCCGCCTCCCGTCACTCCTACCTAACTTCCTTCCAAACGGCAGTGTGTTTAGAGTTAGAACAGGAGGTGAAGGTCAGTGTGTGTTTTTACTGAGGATGAAGGTGAGGAGGAGGAGGAGGAGGAGGAGGAGGAGGAGGACTAATTCAGCGAATCAGAGGAGGAGGTGATAGAAAGAGTCTGATGGTTTGTGGGATGAAAAGCAGAAAAGAGGGAAGGATTGAGAGGGGAAACAGGTTTCTGTACCTTCAGTCTGAAGCTCTGTAGTTCTTCCTCCACCAACCTCCTCACAGCTGCACTGCTCCTCTTCTTCCTCGTCTTCCTCCTCCGGCCTTTCCTGTCCACTTTCAGACGGAAGTGAGTCTGGATCCATCGCTGGTGTGTTAGACTCCTCCATGTGTGTCTGTAGTGCGTTGTTTTCAGAATTAGAGTCCTCAGAGTGTGCTAGTTGTTTTTTGTTTTCAGAATCAGTGCCCTGAGAATGTGTATGCTGTGTATTATTTTCAGAATAAGAGTTCTCATTGTGCATTTGTAGTGTGTTTTCAGAATAAGTGTCTTCAGACTGTATATGCTGTGTATTATTTTCAGAATAAGAGTTCTCATTGTGCATTTGTAGTGTGTTTTCAGAATAAGTGTCTTCAGACTGTGTATGCTGTGTATTATTTTCAGAATAAGAGTCCTCAGAGTGTTGTGTGTTGGACTCCACTGTGTATTGTCTGTTCTTTTCACAATCAGAGTCCTCAGAGCTCGTGTTCGTACATGAGCCAGCCTCCTCATCTGTGCGCCTTTGTTCACCTCTGTCATCATCTTCCCCTTCTCCTCCTCTCTTGTCTTCCGTCATCATTTGCTCCTCCTCCACCCTCCTTCCTTGACTCTGCTGCACGATTCTAACTTGAACTTCCTCTTCTAGCTCCACCTCCTCAAACTCATCGCCTCCCTCCTCATCCAACTCTTCCTCACCCTCTGTCTCTTCACATTCATTTCCCTCCTCCTCCTCCTCCTCCTCCTCCCTTTCTCCTCCCTCCTCAGCAGTGTGTGTGCACAACAGTAAATCTTCATCCCTACTACACTTCAGCTCTTCTTCCATTTCCTCATCCTCATCAACCACCATGTCATGCTTCCCTTTCTCCTTCTCCCTCAGCTCCTCCTCTTTCCCTCGCTCTTTCACTGCCACCTCCTCCTTGCTCTCCTCCACCTCCTCCTCTTCCTCTCTCTGCTCTGTGCAGTTTGCAGGTTCAGTGTTTAGCTTCAGACTCCCGCCTGAGTCAGTACCTCCTCTTTGCTCCTGAGACGTCCAGCGCTCCGACTGACAGCTGGAGGTTCCCACGACTTCAGGAGGAGCAGAGGAGGAGGTGGGGGAGATGGGGGTGAGGATGACGGGTCCACAGGAGTCCTGGCTGAGGTTCTCCTCGAGGAGCCTGGAGCACAGCCCAGCGTGGGAAATGGCGTGTGTGTTACTGGCGGAGTGTGTCGTAGCGTCAGTCGGTGTGTGTTGAGGTGTGTGCGTGACGGAGAGTGCGTCTTGAGGTGTGTGCGTGGCGGAGAGTGCGTCTTGAGGTGTGTGCGTGGCGGAGAGTGCGTCTTGAGGTGTGTGCGTGGCGGAGTGGGTGTGTTGAGGTGTGTGCGTGGCGGAGAGTGCGTCTTGAGGTGTGTGCGTGGCGGAGAGTGCGTCTTGAGGTGTGTGCGTGGCGGAGAGTGCGTCTTGAGGTGTGTGCGTGGCGGAGAGTGCGTCTTGAGGTGCGTGTTGAGGTGTGTGCGTGGAGGTGTGGGTGTGTTGAGGTGTGTGCGTGGTGGAGTGGGTTTGTTGAGGTGTGTGCGTGGCGGAGTGTGCGTCTTGAGGTGCGTGTTGAGGTGTGTGCGTGGAGGTGTGGGTGTGTTGAGGTGTGTGCGTGGTGGAGTGGGTTTGTTGAGGTGTGTGCGTGGCGGAGTGTGCGTCTTGAGGTGCGTGTTGAGGTGTGTGCGTGGTGGAGTGGGTGTGTTGAGGTGCGTGTTGAGGTGTGTGCGTGGCGCAGTGTGCGCTGGTTCTGGCTCGGTGCTGCAGACTGATGGACTGGGTTAAGGAGCCTTTCTGAGGGGAGAAGCGAGGCAGCGGGAGCTCCATCAGCTCCACGTACTCGCCCTCCGAGTCCTCGCCCTCACTGCTCGCTGCTGATTGGTCAGTTTTTGTAGCTGGGAGGAGCTGTACATCCTGTCTCCTGTCGCTACACGGATTGTGAGATGCATTAATTAACGCATCTCCATCCTTAACGGACGACTCCTTATCCTCCTTCAGGGAGGTCCGGGGCCGGCTGATGAACTGTGGATAGACCAGGTCCTCCCACGGGACCCTGAAGACGTCTCCGTGGGCAGAGAGGAGGCAGCGCTCCAGCCTGGATGCTCCTCGCTGCTCCCTCTCCCTGTTAACAGAGTCCAGCCAGGCCATGCTGAAGATGGACCGCAGGGCTATCTCCGACACCTCCTGCTGCTCCACATGACGGCTGCCGGCCGACACGCTGCACACGAGCAGGCGGGGGGAGGAGGACACGGCGCTCCGACAGGAGGCGCTGCGTGCTTGAGGACGAGGAACAGCAGCAGGAGGAGAAACCAGCAGGTAGAAGTCTCCTGGACGGAGGAGGCGTTGGTCCAGAGGACAGAGCTGAACCGCTACCTTCTCATGGACGCACAGAGGCCAGCCTTCATGGCGAAACAGCAGACCACAGTACTGCAGCTGAGAGGAGGAGGAGGAGGAGGAGAGAAGATTAGGATCAATTAAAAATTGAAATTGAAATTTTTCAGCTTGAAACAGAGGGTCAGGCAGGCGTTATTCTCCTGACTCCTCCGTCATGTGAACCACAACTCCAGAACAAAAACCCAAAACACAGAATGGAGGAGAGGCAGGTGAGCCGACGATCGATTGGACCGTGACCACAGTAAAAGGGTCTGCAGCACTGACTCCTGCTCCACAGACAGCGTCGAAGGCTCCCCCCCCCCCCAGTACGTATACCCTCCCCGTATACTCACGCAGGCGTCTTGCTGCAGGTTGGCTAACAGCTGCTTTGCGGGCAACAGGAAGTGGATCAGGTAGCGAAGGCCGTCTCCTCTGTAGCAGCTCTGCACCACGCTGAGGACCTGACAGAGGACAGTCGGGGATGTGGCCTGGAAGGGCGGGTAGAGGTCTGACAGAGCAGTCTGGATGCAGCGGTCCAAAGACTCAGAGTCCTGAGAGGAAAAGGACAGAGAAGGAGGAGGGTCAGACAAACAGGGCCACCAGAGTCAGCACCGGGTCCAAGACCACAAGAACTCAGGTTCAAACTAAAGCAACAGGATTCATCATTGCATTGATTCAGATAAGATATTTTTTAATCCCAGTGCGAAACTGCAGATAATAAAGTCACGTGACCTTGCCCCTGTCCTCCGACCCAAAACACCTGTAGTGTGAAAAACCATGAACTCACTGAGGGTTCAGGTTAGTCCAGGTTCATTTGAAAGGTTACAACAGACTCACAGTGGAACTGACCTGCAGACAGTCAGCGGCAGTCTGCAGGTCAGACAGGCGAGTCCCCTGATCCAGGTAGCAGAAGCAGTAGCTGGTCTCAGCAGTGTCCATACTCAGCTGCCGGTCTCCGTTGGTTCTCATACGCCTCGTGTTCATTCTTTCAGTGCAAAGTCAAAAAACAAGTTCAACATTTCAGGCTAACCGCTGAGAGCACGCCCGGCAGGCCCTGGAGGTGTGGCCGGGAGGCCCCGTCTGCCGCGGTGAGAGCAGGAAGTGTAACTGGATCCGCTGGTCTGGAGGCAGCAGAGACCAGTCAGGTAAAAATATCACCCGGCACACGGCGTCTGGCTCCGGCCGGCTCTCTGACAGACCGTCAGAGGCTCCACTGCTCCATCTCTACAGATATTCTGAACACGTCTCTCAGAGCAAACTTTAACTCATACTGAACGCTGCCTCGTGGATAAACACCTGCTCGCCATCATGCACACAGACCACAGCTTTTACAAAAAGCCTGTGTAGCAGTAAAGAGTAACGGCACCTGAGCAGAATCTGCCGCATCTACTAAAGGGGTTAAACTGATCCTGCAGCGGGTCTACAGACCTGCATCTCGGTGGAGATCAGCTGCCAGTTTGCTTCCAGTGTCGTCAGCGCTCTCCTCTCTGCTGGGCTGAATATTCTGGACGTGACTCGGCTCAGCACGATTCACACACACAGCTGGCAGCCAAATGTAGTGCTGAGGCCAAAATTAGCAGCAGGGTATCAGATGACACCGGGGGGGGGGAGGTCTGTACTGGAAGGCTCGGTGGCCGACAGACATGACAGATCACGAGCTGAGGCTCCGAGATAAACACATTTCAAAAAGGGTCACAACACAAACTGAAAACAGTAACGTAGAGACCGGCCACAGAGCGCAGCAGGTCCGGTTCTGTGCAACATCACGCTGGGCGATACGGCCAAAAGGTTACCAGGATAAAACATTTCAGGTTTAAATTCTGATTTTTGCTCCTGAGTGAAAGTTAATGTGGTTTTAAACTTTTCTTTCCGGTCAGAACAAACACTTGATGCCATACAGAGGATCATTAAACCAACCTTAGGCAGAATATTCAGAACCGTTCTGATAAAATCTGACTTCAGTAACAAAATAAAAATGTTCATAGAAGAATTAAGTGCTGATTCGTTCATGATTCTAATTAATTTAATCAAACATTTATTGAACATTGTATTATTGTTGAAGAGCAGTGTTTCCCATCACTGAACGAGACCATGGCGCCTCGCCACAGTCCAGTTATTTAATTTAATAAACTATTTTTACATAAAAACATTTCAGACCTCTAACATTGTGTTTTGTGGGCGCTGCTGTGAGCTCGCACGCTCATACACTTTGGCATCCGACTCCAGACAACCACTTTTGTTTTTTCTTTTGTCTTTTTTTTTGTTTTTTTAGGTAACTACAGTAACGGTCTGTTTCTGTCACTCGTTTCTGAGAAGGAGATTAAGCTAGCAGCACCTAGATTTGGAGTGCACACGTATTCAAGCCTTTACGGTAAGTGAAGCGGCCCAGAGCGAGCTGACAGGCAGGTTAGAGACTTTATCCTGTCAGTTTGTCTCTTTAGTATGAAGAGAGGCTGTGAAGTCTTCATGTTACAACATTATTTATCAAACCGGGTCGGACTGGATGAATTTAGCGTGAGGAGGAAACACATGTGACAACGTCCGTTTTTCAAAATAAGACAACTGTACAGGATGGAAATTCTATTAATTGGATTGTATTCACAGAAAGTATAAAACATATTACATGTGTCCGTTAAAAAAACAACAACAATAAAATGTTAGGGAAATTACTTACTCTAGTTTCTATTCTTTGACTTAGGGTTTTTGGAAAAACATTAAACAAATTTGTTGAACTGTTGCTGTTTCGACACCATTTAAAGCTCTACAATGGGTTTATGGTCAAATAGTTTATTAGAGCACAACATTGTTTACAGGAGTGCACAGTTCTTCATAGATAACCTCTTCATTTTGCACCAAATTAATGCATTTAACTTTAAAATGTACAAAATTGTCTTACAAGGGGGGGCCTATAGCAGCAGTATATACATGTGAGGATTACAGTATTAAGACTGCCTTGGTTTTTGGGGGGGGGGGGGGTGAGGTACATCAAAGCAGGCTGAGTGAGGTTCCCATGGGAGACTGAGAGGGGCCACCCACTCTGAGGCCCTGCTGAATAATAACTTCATTATCCTCCACAGACCAGAGTCCTGGGAGAAAACACACGTTTTAATTTTGCTTTCTTTCAGCTTCACGACGTTTCATTTGGCTCCTGCTCACGTACCAACGCAGAAAAAGCCTCATTTCCAAGGTTAACGTCTAAACAAACAGCCAATTAGAAGGTTAGAGGTCGAACCAGTGGATTTCCAACCAAGTTCCTTCCTCTGCTGAGCCTTCAGACAGCAGCAGGAACAGAAAAACTATCCTTCTATAAATACCAAAGCTCTGCTGTTATAACAGTTGTGAACAATCTGGGGTGTCGCGATCCCATCTGAACATTACAGAGAACAAGTAGCAGCTGTGAGAGCACGTCCAGGACAGATGAATTCAGAAATGAGACAACTGTTAAAATGACAACCTTCACTGTGCTAATTTAATTATTAAATGAATAATAAATTTAAATTTCTTTATAGTCTCTCAGGTTTGAAATGTTTCAGGGTGGTCTCTATCTCTACTGGCAGCGGTCTCACATTTTTATATTGAAAAACCAAACAGTTATTGATGATTGAAATGGATCGTGTTGCCCTAACTCCTCCTGCAGTAACAGGAGCGTTGGACAGACGCTCGGCGTCATCTTTGGTGATTTTCAGGTGATCAAACTGTGAAACGTCTGTCTGAATCAGCTCTCCACCTGGGAGAACTCCAGCACCGGGTTCCTCCTTCCTATTGGACGAGTTGAGGCGTGACTAACAGGAGAGGCCAGATAAACCTGATGGGCGTGTGTCAATAATTCCAACAGGACGCTGTGACACAACATTATTATAAGTCTTATAATAACATTAATATGACTGTGTTGTGTTTGGGTCAGTTTCACCTGAAACACCTGTTGTTACCTGGAGTTTATCTACAGCTGCTGGGTGGGAGGAGCTACGTATTCCTACGTAGTTCGGGTTCTGTAAACTGGACGACGACGACGAGACGGGCCTGAAACCCTCCTGATGAATCATTAAAACAAAAGATCAACAACTGTGTCAGAAAACATCTGCGTCAAAGAGAAGTCAACTACGATTCCCAGGGTGCATTTCACCAAACAAACGTCCAATCACAGAGCTTCGTGTTCTGCTTACAGAGAGCTGCAGTTTAAATCAGGTCACGCTCAGATTCTGGACCAGTTCCTGATGAAGTCAGTAACTGCGGCGCTCTCTGACCATAGCCACAGCAGCCGAGGCTCATGGGTATTGTAGTGCACTGGTGGTCAGGACGTGAACCTGCAGTCCCAAGTTTCCATGGTGACACAACATTAGAGAAAACGTTGAAATGGGAAACAGCTGGCGGATAAACCACAGCCCACATTAACGTGGTGTGAGTGTGTTTTGGTGCGACGCTGTGTCATCATCTCAGATTAACTATCTCTCAGGTTCAGCTGGTTTTAATGAACCGTCTCCACCCGACTGAAAAAACAGTTCCTGCTGGGCGTGGAGGACGAGGGCGCAGCAAAGAACAGGGTCACAGTCAGGCTGCGTCAGGATCCTCCTCGCCAGTGACTGAGGTGCACAGGTATCTGAACAAACTAACCCTGAGAGGGGTCAGGGCTCCTAAAGGGTGAGGCCACGACCTTTTTAGTAACCAATCATGGTGAAACAGCACGGGGGGAGGAGCTCTATGGGGAAAGACCCACAGGAGACGTGACCTTCGACCCCTACCAGTGAACACAGTGAGAGAACAGGCCAGCTGTCGTGCCGCCGTTAAGTGGCATGAACAAGATCTTTCTCCACAAGTTATATGAACAATGTTTTAGTTGTGCTCAATTTTATAAGTGCGTAGTTCTGTATGTTTTGCTTTAGGTATCATCTCAGTTCCTGTCTGCTACACTATGTTAAAGCAGGGATGAATGTTCGGCCATCAAAATGAAATAGCAAAAAAAGATCTTTGGGCGTTCGGCCTAATAAGTCAAAAGACAGATTAAATTTTACCGAAAAAAATAAATAAAAAAATGGAAAAAATGCCTTGCAAATCTTCTCATTAAATTTGGCTTCGGCTGTATTTATATATGTGTTCAAGTACTCTGCTCCTCTGACGCCACTCATCTGGCCATCACGAGTTTTCACTGCACGTAACGTACCGGCGTCACCACGAGCGTACAACGTGAAGACCTGAACACCAGAAGCCTTAGCTCTCCTGCTTTTGCAGTTTTATTTTTTCAGGGAGAATTCATGCGGAAAACCCAAAACAGAGCAGATGTGGACGCCACCTCAACCTCATGTCATTCAGACCGTTCAGTCTCTCTCACACGCTCGGCTCATCTGCTCGGGCAGCTGGGAGATAAAACCACTTCCTGTTTCTTCCCCTGAGCCGTGCGGCTGTGATGTGGCTGAGCATCACCGTCCGGCCTGGAATAAAAACAGGCTGTTTGTGAAATCCACCGCTGGATCAACATGTTTTCACAGTTTCATCCAGTTTGTGAGACGTCAGGCTTCTGTGATCAGTGAAGGACACAAACCTGGTTTCCCCAGAGAGACGGAGAGAGCCTGGTTCCAGGTTCCTGACCCGCTGCATGTTTATGGATCAACCATAAACAGCTTGACGCCGTTCAGCAGGTTGACTGTTTACAGCGGCGTGGCAGGAACGCCAGAGAGAACGAGACGAGGATGCTTAGGTTACCGTCCGTTTAAGTACAGACGAAATGAACTAGATCCTCAGAGGACGATCTGCATCACAACACAACAGAACGTGACCTGTTCTCGATCAGCCGGAGAGGAAGTTTGTGACTCGGCCCTTGCTGAACCTTCCTGTGCTGATTGTATCAGGTGACCTGGGGGGAAACATTCTGACTTTACAGATCACACGCAGGACTAGGAACACCGACGACCCCCGGTTTTCTTAATTACTATGAACTGAGGTAAGACGGCGGCGTGTGAAAAGGACGTGTTGTTCTCCATCTGCAGCAGAGATTAATCCGTTTGATGAAGAGCTCTCGTCTATTTTTACCTGCGGTTACCTGCTGCAGCTTGTTCAGAGACCGAGAGATGAAAGCTTCATCTGTCTGATCGTATCTGGCTCGATGAATGACGAGCAGGAATGGAAGCTGAATGAAGGAGGAACAGACCCAGCAGTGCATTCTGGGGGAAACACGAGGTGTGAGATGAGACGGCGTACCTGGCTGATGTTTCCACAGATAATGCTTTCAGGAATGTTACAGAAACCAGCGCTGTCACAAAACATCCAGCTCATTCAGCGTGACCACACAGTCTGATCGAGCGGCCACTGCCTCTGATCAGCTGATCTGTGCGGCGTTCAGACTCTCCAGCTGTTTCAGCACACGTCTGAACTACAGGTAGCACTCTCCTTTACCTTTACTCTCCTCTGTCTCTGTATGCTGCATCACAGCCGACAGACAGGTGAGAGAGAGAGAGAGAGAGAGAGAGACAGGTGAGGAGAGAGAGAGAGACACAGGTGAGGAGAGAGAGGGAGAGAGAGAGAGACACAGGTGAGGAGAGAGGGAGAGGGGGA